CTGCCGCACCGCCGCGGCCGTGAACCTTCTGCTGGGCGTCTTCCAGGTCCTGCTGCCCTGCTGTCGCCCGGGAGGGGCTCAGGGACAAGGTCAGCCTCGCGCCGCCGGGCTCGCTCTCCCTCTCCACCCCGCCCCCCCTTCTCTTTCTTTTAGGGAACTGTTTAAATCTATCAGAAGGCTCGGGGAGGAGAGGGGAAGGGGCAGCAGCGGGAGGAAAAGCTGTTGCGGTTCTCCGGGCGCAGCGTCTCCTCCCGCGCCCCGGTCCAGCCCGAGCGCTGGGAGTCGCGGGGCTCGGGGACCGCTAGCCGCGCGCGTCCCGGAGCCTTTGTGCGCGGGCCCCTGCGCCCGGGGCGCAGCCCCCGCTTTGTGTGGCGCGCGCTGGTGCCCCGCCGCGGCCCGGCTTCCTGCAGCTTTGTTCCCCGGAGCCTGGCTGCCCGGGGATCGCAACCCAGATGGTCGGGCTGCGCAGCCCCGAGTGTCCGGTGGGGTGGCCTCGTCCCCCCAGCGCTAGTGCCCCGACCTGCACGCCCTCGTCTTTCCGTCTGAGGGGCCGCCGGCTCACGCTCCGACTATTGTGTTTTCATCCTGGGCTCGCCTCTCGGATGGCCTGGCTCTAAGAAGGAAAAGGAGACTTGTTTTGGGGAGGCGGGTGGCACGGGGGACGAGAAGGGAAACAGGAAGCGTTTCTTTCCGTGCATTAAGTGTGTTTTTTGGTGTCGGTGCAGCGATCGAGCCCTTGCCGAACGTGGTGGAGCTGTGGCAGGCAGAAGAAGGGGAACTCCTACTGCCCACTCAGGTGAGGACGACCAGGTGACAGGACAGGGGTGGGCGTGCGAGGGAGGAGAGGCCCGGAGGCCGCTGGCCCCCCAGTGGCACAGACGCTCGGGCCACTTTGCAAGGCAAATAAACGGTTGGCCAAGCCTGAACACCTGGCAACGGTGGCCCTCCCGGCCACCTCCCGCACCATGTGACAGGCGTTAGTCTGGCCCGCCCCAAGTTCGGAAGGTGGGAGCCTGGCCACTTCAGCAGGGCTACGGCCAGCGACTGCTGCGCCCGGGAAGGGCGGGCTCCTCCCGGGCCAGTGGTCCCGGTGGATGAGGGACCTCGCCCTGGGTCTACTCTGCTTCTGTCTGATTGAGCTGGTGCCGTGTGGATGGCAAGTGGCTGGAAGGTTGAAGACCGCAGGAACATTGATTTCATAAATATTAGTGAGTGGTGCTTCCCATTAGCGCTAAGTAGCTTTGGGATGAAGATGTGACTTTAAAGGATTGTAATCTTGGATTTTCTCCAAGTGCGTTTAATTCCTGTTAGAATACACCCACTTATGAACTTGAATTTCAGGTTTTCTCTTTTTCCCCCTATATGATGATTGCAGGTGGAAAAATAATTACTAACATTTTATTGGGAATCTGTAGCACCATGGGTTTCCTGCTGCTATAGATAAAGTACTGTGAAGCTTTGGTGTTGATTTTTAAGGTTTAGCTTGTACCAGAAATTCTTACTTCAAAAGTACCCATGTGAATATAATGTTGTTGACCGTTTTTCACTAGCAGCACTAATGACTAAAATGTATTTTCGAGGGTGTGTGTTGAATGATAAGAGTATTCAGCTTGTGTATGGCAGTTTTAAGGTTCATTACTTCCCATATTGGTGGCAGCATTAAAAACGGAACATCTACCTATAATCTCACTCGGGAGGCTGTGCAGTTTTACATTTCAGCTTTCTCCTCTCTATGTGAAGCATTGAGAAAGCTGGTTTTGAGATATTTGGAATGTTCATTTTTGACCAGGGCTAATGAATAACAGCTTGAAGGCAGAGAGGTGATTTTAGAGGAAAAATTTCCTGGACCTTTCCTGAACGCTAGCAGGCTGCATGAGACCATTCCTTTGAGAAAAAGCCCCATCAGCAAATCATCTTTCCTTCTACTGAAAGTTTACTCCCAAGTGGCTCCCCCCATTATAAATAATACATTGTAAAATACAGAAAGAAGAACAATAAAGTAGGAATCATTCATAACCCTACTGAGAAAACCACACTGAACGCTTGATGAATTTGCTTTAAAAATATATATGTTTGTCTCAAGAGTTGTTCAGCAATGACATGAGTGACTTTTTAGTCCAGAATTCTTTGTTTTGGGGAGCTGTCCTCACTGTCACAGGATGTTGGGCATCATCCCTGGTCTCTACTCCCTGAATACCAGTAGCTGTCTAAGTTCCCCCTCAAACCCACTAGCTTTTTGTTTTTGTTTTTTGAGACAGTCTCCCTCTGTTGCCCATGCTGGCCCCGAACTCCTGGGCTCATGCAATCCTTCTGCCTCCACACCTGGCTCAACTCCCTCATTTTACCAATTGAGAATGTTACCCTAGTTAAGAAGCAACTGGTGTCTATGTGCATTTGTATTTTTACTCAGTTGTAGTCCACCTCTGATGGTTAAGGTTGGAATCCAGCACAGACTAAAAGGGAAGTAAATTGTAGACCCTCATTTGTTATGGTGTTTGTTGTAGTCATTGTGCCCAGAGTTGGAATGTTAAGGTCTGTGATAAAATGAATTATTTACAGGCTCAAAATTGTTTTATAAAATGCTTACTTTCTAGTTGGATTTTGTTTGTAATGGTTTGTTTTGATAAAAAAAACTGTTAGAATTGAGAAGTTGTCTTTCTGGAATACTCACTATACAGGCATTTATAGCTGAGCTATTTTTATCAGCTGTAATGAAAGTGAAACTGGTGTTTGAAATAATTTTCTAAATACTCCATCTCTACTATATGTACACTTTTTATAAATGATCTTACTCTGCATATACCTGGGCAGGGATAAGGGATATATGTATATCTCAGCTGCACAGAGTTTGGGAGAAAGTTATTTTTAAGGAATTAAAAGTGTTTTTGAAATTTCTTTGAAAAGGTTCCATTGTGTGTCATAGAGAGTATGTGGAAAAGAGAATGTTTATAGGTGTTTGAGGGTTTTTGGCTTTAATTAACTAGAAGATTGAGTTCCTTTCATTTAAGAAGGCTAAGAGATGCCTTTGGAACCTAAGGGTTACAATGATGGGCAGAATAGGAACATCAGAGATGGTGGCATTCCATAAACATAATACTAACCTTTGCCAACACTGTTTATATAATTATTTGTTTTGGAAGTGTTTCCTGTTGATTGTTTTCTTTTTCTTTTCCTGATATAGTTATGATTAGGAACTTGAATAACTCATCATTAATAAAACTATATATAAGATTGAATTGTCAGGAAGGGTCAGGCCTCTTGGGTATGAATCCTGGCTCTTATCCTTTCTACCTCTGTTAATTTACCTTTGTGTGTGTCTGTGTTCAAGTGCGCGCTGGGGATTGAACCCAGAGCTTTCCACATGCTAAGCTTCTATCACTGAACTACATTTCCAGCCTCAGTTCATCTCTCTGTTCTCCATTTTCTTACCTGCAAAGTGTATGTCTGTGTGTGGGGGTGGTGGTGGTGGTGGTGATGGTGCTGATTTGACAGGTTCGTGATGATTATATGTCTTGAACTTAGCACCTGATGTAGATTGCCTAGCATTTTGGTGGTCTCTCAACTGACCCATAGATGTCATCCATATAGGACATAAATAGTTTTTCTGCTTTGAAGGGGCTGAACCAGTACAGATAACTCAGTACTTGTGTTCTGTGATTATATAGATAAGTTTTATTGTTGTCTTCTTTTTTTTTGCAGTGTTGAGGATTGAACCCAGGGTCTTGTACATGCTAGGCAAGTCCTGGACCACTGAGCTAAGTCCTCAGCCCTATGAAAACTGTGATTTTAATTCTTGAGTTTATAGAATTTTTTTCTTCCGATTCTCCTTCAGCACACTGACTGTAAAGTGGTGATGGCATAGGAACCAAACAAGCATTTTCATTAGCTTCTTTGTCAAGAGGCAGCTCCATTGTGGTTGTGGTTGTGTGCCCTCTTATTTCATTTTTGAGGCCAGAATAGTGTGTGATTTCTTACGATCCATACAGGGTGACATGCACTTTGACCTGCTCTGGCCTTCAGGACCTCTGGCCTTCAAGGACCTTGTCTGACCTTGTCTTACCTTGTCTTCTGCTCTAGTCAGTCTTCTGGGATTCTCCCTCCAGCTTGACCCTTGCCTGAGTGAGCCCCGTACCTTATCTTGCTGAATGAATGATTGCTACTGTTATGCTAGTGGCTCAGGGCTAGTTCTTCATGACACCTAACTTGCAATGATGTTGACATAATTTCTCCCCCCTTTTTTTCTGGTGCTGGGGATGGAATACTGGGCCTCACTCCTGCTAGGCAAGGGCTCTACCATTGAGCTCTACCTCTAACCTCAACATTTCAAACCTTCTTTTGAGTTTCTTATAGTGTCTTGAGTGTCTGAATTTTTCCCTTTGTCTTGTATGTATCTTGTTACCCCAACTGGGTTCTCAGTAAGAGGGTCTGGGGCCAGGCATGCTGGTGAACGTCTATAATCCCAGTGGCTGGGGAGGCTGAAGCAGGAGGATCGTGAGTTCAAAGCTGGCCACAGCAACTTAGTGATTCCCTGAGCAACTCAGAGAGACCTTGTCTCTAAATTAAAAAAAAAAAAAAATTATAAAAAATGGCTGAGGATGTGGCTCAGTGGTTAACTTAAGTGCTTCTGGGTTCAATCCCTGAAACCAAAAAAAAAAAAAAAAAAAAAAAATGGGGGGGGTGTCTGGAGGCTGCTGAGTTTTGGGACCCTGTTGTGGCCAGTGTTGTGCATACAGTAGGCATTCAGTAGTTAGCTCATGAAGCCTTCCTAGTGGAGGAGAGGCAGCTGTCAGTGCCTTGCCCTTTGCCCCATTTGTGAGTTTAGGACAGTTCTGATGGTGGCAGGTAAAATGACTTTAGTATTGATTTCCTACTATTATCATTATCAGTTATCTGTTATTGTTAGATTTTGGAATTGGAGATTGAACCCAGGATTGCTTTAGTCACTGAGCAATATCCCCAGTTTTTTTCAGCACTGAGTTGCTGAGGCTGGCCCTGAACTTGGAAGCCTCCTGTCTCAGCCTCCCAAGTTACAGGTATGTGCCACTGTACCCGGCTCCTATTATTGCTTGATATTTTTGTGTCAGTCCTCTCAGTAAGAAGGGCAGCCTAGAACCTGTTCTTCCAATCCATTGAGACTTGTCCATGAAGACTCACTGCTGATGCTCCCTGTTGCTGGTTAGGGATGCGGAGGCGAGGCGGAGAAGGTGCTGAGCAGGAGCCACTGAGCAGCAGACTTAGGAGCCTGCTGGGCCTGGGCTGGGCCGGCTCAGAGCTGTACTTAGGTCTGTTTGTTCATTTAGCAAACATTGACCTTGGCCTGGCCCTGCCCAACCCCTGGGATCCAGTGATGAATGAGAAAAGCTCTGCCTTTAAAAAGACCATGTCCTGTTGGTGTTCTCCCCTTTTAAGTCTGAGGGTGTAGATAACGGAAATTGGTAGAAAGTGAAACAGGAAATGGTACGCTGAACATTCGGGTCCTTTTTATTATTTCAGGTACTGGGTTATGTAATAACATCTTACTCCAGTCAGTGAATCATTGACTAGTATTTGGAAATCTTTTTGTCATCAAGGTTTATTTTTGGTTTAATCTACTTCCACTGTAAACATTGGAAAAATAGTAACGGATGGGCTGACTACTGTGCACACCACTTGAGCACGGTGTGAGTAGTAGCTCATATCTGTACACTTGACAACTATGAAATCCCACCTGATTTTACAGTTGAGGAAAGCGAGGCACAGAGCAGTTAAATAACCAGTCCAAGGCAATAAGAAAGTAGCAGTGGTGGGATTTGAACCCATGATGCTTCAGCTGCAGAGCCTGAGTCTCAGCTGTAGAGCCTGAGTCTCAGCTGTGTGTCTCAGTGGAAAAAAAATTTTTTTGTGTGTGTGGTGCTGGGGGTGGAAGGCATGCTGTTCTAGGGCTCCAGTGCTGAACTATTTTATTTTAATTAATTAATATTTTAATGTGGTGCTGAGGATGGAACACAGTGCCTCCCATGTGCTAGGCAAGCGCTCTTCCGTTGAGCGACAGTCCCAGCCCTCGCGTTCTATCTTGATGTTCATGATGTTTTCAGATGTAGTGGCATCCACTAGTGTCTGGCGGCTGGACTGTGCTCGGCCTTGCAGGCATTTGTTGAGCTCGAGTTTTGCGCCATGCACTATTGTGGGTGCAAGGGGGTGTTGCTTTTGCGAAGCTTGCTAGCTAGGTATGGTGGTGTAAACCCAGCGACTGGGAGGCTGGGGCAGAAGGATAGCAAGCCTGAAGCCAGCCTGGGTAGAAGAACTTAGTGAGACCCTGTCTCAGAATTTAAAAAACAGCTGTCTATGTCGTTTGGTTGTGAAGTGATGGGTTTAGCCCCCAGTCCTGGAAAAAAACCCCAACCCAAACCCAGAAGACTGGCTGGGGATTTAGCTCAATGGCAGAGAACTTGTCTAGCATGTGTGAGGCCCTAGGTTTGATCCCTAGCACTGGTAGGGGGTTGGGGGGGGTGGGGAGAAGCAAGCTATAAATTATTTGATCTGTTCAAGGGGCATAAATTTTATGGTGGGAGGATGAGGTTTAATTTAAGAGGTCAAAAATGCCACTTTGAGGAGGAGATACTGGAGGCAGCCTGTGGAAAGCAGTGAGGGAGTTGAAATCGTCAGTGCCAGGGCCCTGAGGCACGGTCAAGAAGGTTGTGGGGCGGGGAGGAATGGTAGTACAAGATTGGGCCTTACCTTCTGAGAACTTGGTGGTGTTGGTGAGAGATGAGACCGGTAATACCCCGAGACAGCTTTCAAGTGCAGAAATGTAGGAACTGAGAGAATAGGCCAGTGTGTATTTCAGGGGTTTTCCTAAAGCTTAGGGCAGGAGGGAGGCTCTAGAGAACGGTAATGGCAAATATATGTGACAGGAGTCTACCCAGGAACCTCACATGGTAGACAATGCAGGTCAGTGCTTTCACAGTGACCTTTAAAATTGTGCCCCAGAGCTTGTTGAGGTTGGTGGTGGCGTAGGTGATGGTACATCCAGGCCTGTGGGAAGGTGTGCTGACCTTCTGGGAAAGATCTTAAAGAGGGGTGGGGGTAGACTGTTTGCCTAGCACGTGAGAGGCCCTGGGTTCATTCCTGGTACTGGAAAAAACCAACAAGAAAACAGCTTGGACCAGGTCTGACTAGCCCCGGGGAGCCATGGTAAGTCCTTGAGCAGGGGTTAACGAGGCAGTTGAGTCTGGATCCCTACTGTGTGATTGACCTGGAGGAGGAGAGTGTCTTTAGTGATGCACAGAGTTGTTTGGAGGCAGAAAGCCCTGTCTCCGGGTGGTCCAGGCCTGGGGTGCTGAGGCTGCGGGCTGTATTGCTTGTGTAGGGTGGAGAAGAAAGAACGGGTCTGAGCCTGTCCTTGAAGGGGAAGGGAGGGGGGCTGTGCAAGGTGACCCTAAGGCTTGGTCCCTGGGGTCAAGTAAAGTGATGGTGCCCTCAGCCGATGGGGGCGGGGTTGGCCATCAAAAGCTTTTTGCTGCTGGTGCCGGAGATAATGGAGGAGCCCAGGTTGAGACCATTGATACATCCCAGAGGTGTCTGAGATGGGACTGTGAGTGGTAGAGGAAGCCATCGGGGTCTTGGCAGTCCCTGCCCTGGGTTGGTGCTGTGCTGGAAAAACCGCATGAGTTTGAGGCTGTGGAAAGATGGACCTCCATGAGTCCCCCCAGGTGTGTGCAGTGAGAAGATGGGGCAGCAAATAGGGGTTCAGGCTTTGTGGTTCAACCCTGGGTTACAGGCTGAGGGGGTAGGTGCAGAGGAGTCTGGGCCAGGAGCCTGGGTGAAGGGAGGGAGGAGAGGCCAGGGAGGCAGAAGTGCCAGGAGGAGGTTGGAGAGAAGCTGGTGCATCTGGAAGGGCCAGGACCCAGGAGGCTGGCAGTGTCTGCAGAAAGAACGCTGCGCCCAGAGCTTGCCTATCCCCAGCACTCAGCCCCCAGCCCCCAGCCCCTTGCAGCAGCAATTACTTGGGCCTGACCTTGTGTTTTTTTTTCAGTTCCTTCTTTTCCCCTCCCGTATGTTAATGAGGTCAGATTTCCTCCTGGTGCTCTGGTCCATGGTTTGGGGAGAGCTTTTGAGTGTGTTGGTCACTTACCAAGTTATCAGCTTTTTTTTTACCTCCGTGTCAGATTGTATCAGGTTTTCACTCATTAAGAAGATTCTGAGCTCAGCAGAATACATTTTCTGTATTTGGGAATTTAATTAGCCTTAAACTTTATCTGGTGTGATTAAACTTACACGTTAATCAAAGGCTGTGAAGAGAGGTGAGGTCTCCTGTTGAGCTTACTTTTAAGTCACGGTTTTTAAATGAGTAGAAACTGTTTTTCTTACAGTGACTTTCTAAGGGACCACTTGGCAGTTTATGTCCTTTAAAATTCTTGTCATTACAGTGGTGTTCTTTAAATAAATAACCTATGCAATATTTGTGCCGGTGACTCTTGTTACAAGAGTAACAAGATCACCCTGTGAGAGTCTTTTGGTGACTTTGTGTTCCTTTGAAACAGCAGTTAAAGCATTTTCTTTTTCAATAGGGTGAGTCTGAAGAGGATGTGGAGGAACCTTCTCAAGAGCAGAGGTATGATGTGCCAAAATGCATTCTACTGTCGTGTGTAACTAATTAAAACAAATTTGAAAAAAGGACAATTTAATAAATATTCTGAGACAAAGAAAGAACAGAGGTAAGGAAAAAACGGGGGGCAAATAGTTGCATGCTAAATTTCCTGGCCCTCTCAGGATGCTCTGAAGTACCTCTGAAGTATCTGTATGTACCTGTTTACCGTAATTATCTGTAATAGTCATCTTTCTGTTTGGCCTTTGTGATTTCTAACAATTAATATGACTTTGTTTTAAAATAAGGTGGTACAGAAGGCTGTTGGAAAACCCCCTTGTCTTTGCCACACACCAGCCTCACTTCTCCCATGGCAGGCCGACGCCCAGCACTGCTGGGTGCTGAACATTGACATATTGAACTAGACCTGCTCTGGGTGTAACGGGGAAGTCAGACATCACTGTAAGCAAAGTAATTGTGTTTATGATAAGAACTGTCAAGCATTAGGTTCTTGTGGTAGACAGCACACAGTCAGGTGAAGTTCCTCTTGGGAGGTGACATTCCAGCTGACAATTGGAGAAAGTAGGAGCAGCCACCTAGCAAGCAGAGGGCCGGTGCTTGGGGTAGCACGAATGGCAGGCACCAAGGCCCTGAGGTTGGAAGTGTGGCAGGAAGCCCAAGAGCTTTGGGGAAAGTTTGTGTTGGTTTGTCGGGTAGAGAAAGAGGTGTGCGACCTTAGAGGTCTCAGCAGAGAGCTTGAGTTTTATTTTTAACTGTGGTGTGAGTTCTTAAAGCAGGGAGCTATCAAATGAAAAAAAAATGTAAATTACATTTTTAAGAGAATATCTTGGGGCAGTTTTGGTTAGCTGTCAAAGTAGGATTCTGGTCTCTTGGAGGTGCCTGAAGACTAAGTGGCACTTAGTATGAGGATAATTTCAGAGAATTGGTTTCCAGATACCCATAGAGTCTTCTGAAATCAATATGTCAGAGGTTGTGAGTTATTTTCTACGTCAATTTTCACAATCTCACTTCTCTAATTTCTAAAATAAAGGCCTTTCTCTCACCCAGTCCTAAATCCTGTTTGTTTCCTCTTGGGCAGACAAAGGGACAATTTGAAATTGTTCTAGTTAAGACACATTCTTTTAAGACTCCTGGTGGTTTCCAAGTTCTTGCTTTAAACAGAATTGAAGGAGTGAGTACACAATCCAATTTGCAGCTTATGGATCATCGAAAGTTATGTTTAATGATAGGCCACTGTGTGGTTTTTGGAGTTTAGGTAATACGGGCCATTGCTGTAACAACTCGTTCTACTCATATCTGTTTGTGTGAACAAGCTTTTTCAATATTTAGCATTAAAAAAATAAAAATTAAAAAAGGACAGTAAAAACAAAATTGCATGGATGTTAATTAAACCTGTCTCATTCTAGCAGCAAATCATGTTCGTATGAGCCCATTGGGGAGAAAAGACAGTTCTGTTGTCTCACCAAAGGATGCAGGTTCTTTGTTTGTTCCTTCCTGACCTAGGAATTGAACTCAAGGCCTTCCACATATCATTGAGCCCCTAGGATGCATTTTCAATCAGATTTTATTTATGTTTAATTACCTATCAGAATTTATTGGTTTATTCAGTTGTATGTTAATAAAAATCATAATGATAATTCAGAAAAAAATTTCAGCACTTAAATCCTGTGATTACAGGACATTTCAATTTATATCCATTGTTCTGTTGCAGAAGTACGAAAGGCTTTGGGTATAGTTTTTTTCTTTCTTTACTGGAAATTGAACTTAATGCTTCATATGGGCTAGGTGAGTGGTACACACAGGGTCTTGATAAGTTGCTCAGGCTAGCCTCAAATTTGCAATCCTCCTGCCTCTGCCTCCTGAGTAGTTGGGATTACAGGCCTGTGGCAGTGTGCCCAGCTGTGTATACATATATTAAGTTACAGTTCTTTGGGGGAAATCGAATGAAAATGAATTCATGGAGGAAAAGAAACAACATAAAATATCCAGGTACAAAAGAGCCTCTTTGTGTATTTTTAGAAATGCATAATGGTGGATATCACTGTAATGCTATTTAGATCTCATTGAATATATTTTAAAAGTGATTAAGAGTTTTATTAGAAATATCAGTGCAGTATGACGGATTATATTTTTGTAACCATTAAAACTCATAAAATTTTCAATGTGGGACAACTTAAAATCCTTTTCTGATCTGTGGGACAAAACCCGGTGAGGATTGCTGGGCTGGTTCAGGCTAGGGTGGTGATGGGGGGATGGAGGGAGATGGGAAGTTATTTTTGGGGTGGGGTGAATTCATGGCTGTTGGATCAGTGTGGCAAATGCAGGAGAGAGAAATAGAGGTTTCTAGACTTTGGCTTGAGCATCTGAGAGGTGATGACTGTGATGGGAAAGGATTTAGTGGGAGGGAAATCCGGAACTCCGCTTGGTTGTCTCCTAGGCATCTCAGACTTGATGTGACACGTCCGAGTGGAGGTGGCAGGTAGGCAGCGGGTGGTGTGTGTCTGGAGCTGGGGAGGCCTGGCCTGCGGACTCAGGTGTGGCGAGCACAGCCCTGGGTGCCTGGCTGCCTGTGCCTTGGCATTTGTTCTTTTGTGGATGTGGTTCTTGCCTCTTTCTTGGGACAGCGGGCATTTGAACCCAGGGCCTCGATGGTACTGAGCACCCCCTCTACCCTGGAGCCACAGACCAGCCTTCCTTTTTATTAATTAGAACTAGTTTCTTTTTGTCGATTTTCTAGTAAACTTAAAGGTGTATTAATAAGTTTCAGCCTCAATGATCTTTTGACACAGCCTCAGATGATCAGAAGGTGTGCATCATCACAAGGGAGCGTTTCATGAATGATCTTGAATGGTGGCTTTCGAGCTCTTTGTGCTGACAGTAAGACATTTGCCCTCGTAACTTTGTGCTTACAGGCATAGAGAGAGAGAGATCTGTGAATATTTACATGTACCTGTGTTTCCTTAAAAAATGAATTAAAGTTTCACAAAATAGCATTCACCTTTAGTGTCTGCAGTGGACTCTATTTTCTATTTCATTTCATTAAAATCAATGTTGAGGGGCTTAGCACTTCTGAGGCACTGGGTTTGATCCTCAGTGTCACATAAAAATAAATAAAAAAAAATAAAGGTATTGTGTCCATCTACAACTGAAAATAAAACAACACTGAGGATTGCAGCCTGGGCAACTTAGTGAGACCCTGTCTCAAAATAGAGAATAAATACATGAAAGGGCTGGGTTTGGGCCTCATTATCCCCCTTCCCCACGTTGGTTGCCACCTCTTGATTTACTTATTGGTAATAACTTTATTGGGGTATAATTCGCATAGCTTACAGTTCACCCTTTTTAAGTGCTCATTCATGGAGTTGAAAAAATACCACAGTCAAATTTAGAACATTCTTGTCGTCCAGAGAGATGCCTTACACTTTAGGCATTCTCCATCCTCTCCCGCTTGATTGGAAAACTTCGTAGACGGTGGTTTATGGTTTGATCAGCCTTGCTTTATGTTTATCTTCTTGATTTCAGCTATTCCTGTGTTTTCCTGTTATTTTTGTTCTTCGTTACTTTCCTCGGACTCGACTTCTGGCCTCTCTGGCCCTCTGGGCTGTTCTGGGCCTGCGTCTGCTCCTGCTGTATAAAGGCAGGCTCATGGCCTGACTGAGGTGCCGCTGTTAGAAAACTTTCCTTGTGTCCGTTTTCTGAAATCGCAGACTCTAGCGCTCTAAGAATTACCTGAGTGGGATGTTTTGTTATTGGTCAGTCGCCAAAGTGTTTCCTGTTTATTCACAGAGCTGAGATTGTTTTTGACAGGGATTGAACCCGGGGCTCTTTACTGCTGAGCCACATTTCCAGCCTGTTTTTTTTTTTTTTTTTTTTTTGAGAATAGGGTCTCACTAAGTTGCTTAGGGCCTCACTAAATGCACCACACCTGGCACTATTAATTTTTTAAAAATTTCCCCAAAACCTACCCTAGTACCTTGCTACTTTTAAAGTAACCTTCTGCTTTAGGATAGATGCAAATTTATAGGAAAGTTACAAAGATCGCATCACATATCTTGTATGCTCTCAGTGTGCCCTTATTGTTAATGTCTTTTTTGGAGGAGGGACCAAGGGTTGAACTCAGGGGCCCTCGACCACTGAGCCCCATCCCCAGCCCTCTTTTGGATATTATTTAGAGATGGAGTCTCACTGAGTTGCTAAGTGCCTCGCCATTGCTGAGGCTGGCTTTGAACTCGAGATCCTCCTGACTCAGGGACACCCACCCCCCTGCCCCCGCCCCCCAGGCCGCTGGGATTGCAGGCCTATTGCACTGCACCCGACTTCCTATTGTTAATGTCTTACATGACTTTGGTATGTCGGTCACCACTGAGAAACTGTCATTGGTACATTATTGCACTGAACCCCACACTCTTCAGTTTCACTCGTGTTTGCCGGATGCCATTTTGTCATTTTTGGAGGCAAGTCATCAAGTGCAGTTAAGCTTCACCTACTCAGATTATTGTAAATTCTGAATGGGAGAGTCTTCTCTTCCCTTATTTAGGCGATCATTCATTTATATCAGTGTAGATATGTATACTTTGGTTTACAACTGTTTTTTAGCAAAACCCCAAAGTTCCTCGTCTGTTGATAGGGTCTTGCACTTTCAGACCTGGGGTTCTGGGGTTCTTCCCAGCGTCCCTTCCAGGGGACCACATTACTTTTGGTCGTCATGTCTCCTTGGTTGTTCATTTGTCAGCCTTTCCTTGTTTTAGATGACCTTGAAAGTTTTGAGGAGTAGGGGTCAGATGTTTTGTTAAATGTCCTTCAGTGTGGTTACATTGGGGCATGGGTTGGGGGAGGCGGACCACAAAAGTAAGTTGACCTTGTCATCCCGTCATGTCAGAGGTGTGTACTATCAGCGTGAATTATCACTTTGGTGTTAACCTTCGTCACCTGACCAAGGTCCTTTTTCAAGTCAAATTATTAAGTGGAAACTAAGCCACATATGAACACAGTTTTTGAAATTCTTT